CACAATATACACAGGCTAAACTCCGTTCACTCAATAAACATTATTGAGAGACCGGAAGTGGAGCGAATGAGAGGTGACCAGAAATGGAAAGAAAAGTAAGCAGAATTTGTTTTGCTTCTGAACCAGATATAATTCATTTTCTACAAATTGCTTGGGAGAGAACGCTAGCATCTGGTTTTGTTATTACACTTACTGATGGTCAGTCAGCATGGACCGGAACAGTTTCCGAATCAGAGATTTCTCAAGAAGCTGATGACATGGCAATGGAAAAAGAGAAATATGTTGATGAACTGAGGAAAGTATTGATATCAGGAGGAGGACCAGCTGATGCATACAAGTTTGATTTTTCTAAAGAGTCTTGTCATTTCTCCTTTGAGAAAAACCTGAAAGATGTTTCATTTAGACTTGGTTCCTTCAATCTAGAGAAAGTTGCAAGTCCAGCTGAGGTCATTAGGAAACTTATTTGTGATTGCCTGGACACCATTGCGGAAAACCAAGCCAAAAATGAGCACCTGCAGAAGGAAAATGAAAGGCTTCTGAGAGATTGGAATGATATTCAAGGACGATTTGAAAAATGTGTGAGTGCTAAGGAAGCTTTGGAGACTGATCTTTATAAGCGGTTTATTCTAGTGCTGAATGAGAAGAAAGCAAAGATCAGAAGCTTGCATAAATTGTTAAATGAAGTTCAAGAACCAGAAAGGAACATTCAGCGTGAAAGGGAAGGCACAACATGTTCTGAAATGACCGCTGATAGAGATGCAGTCTACGATGAAAGTACTGATGAAGAAAGTGAGAACCTGCCTGATCCCTCTGTGTTAGCTCCAGCTACTTCTAGAGATGATTCCATCATTTCAAGTCCTGATGTCACTGATATTGCACCAAGTAGAAAGAGGAGGCAGCGGATGCAAAAAAATCTTGGAACAGAGCCTAAAATGGCTTCTCAGGTGACTCAGCCTCAAGAAAAGGAAAAGTTTGATCCTCCACAACCTGAGAAGTTGAAAAAGGAGCACAGCTCAA